CGATCAAGCAGAACAACATGGAGAAATAACAATGAGAAATGTATCAAAGGAAACTCCTTATAAGGGGTGCTGTGAGTGCTCTGTGGCGCACACCAAGTGGGAGCCGCTATGGTATGATTGACTTATCGCAGCACATTACTGACGTAACGCATTCACGTGATGGAAATACAACAGTGGTGTAGTTTATCAAGAACTGCGAGCAATCATACTCTTTAGAATTAAATTGCTTTCATGTTATGTTTTTTTCCACTGTTTTCTGCTTTTTTTCCACTGTTTTCTGCAATTTTAGGCTGAAGTAGCGAAATGGCGCGAAAGGAAAGCGCGTGAAGGGAATATTGAAGCACTGCGAAAAAAACTAAAGGAATCGGAGCAACGAGAGCACGAAATGCGCGAGAAATTGGAGAAGCGTGAGCGTCATATTGAGCAAATAAACCGAACGGAGGGAAACCGCGTGGCAGAAGTGGAACGACTGCGTGCTGCGAACAAGAAGCTGAAGCATGAAATCGAGGTAAACCGGATGCAGCAGAATAAGGCGGACGATTGCTCGAAGGGCTGGGAGGAGACGAATCGAGTGCTGCATCAGAAAGTGGAACAGCTCAAAAAGGTCAGAAAGAAATCCCAGGATTTTTTGGCGAATCCTAGGCAATCATTGAGGGAAGGGCTATCCGAGTCAAACAGGACACGGAATTTTTTTTTTCTTTCCTCAACTCATCTTTATTTTTCTGACTGTGGACAATCCACAAGTCTGATCCCTGAGGGAATCAAGCAGTAAGATCTGTAAAACAGAGCTTATTGCCCGGAATGTACAGTCCGGAGTATATATACTTTGACTTTAATTACCTCACAAAACTGATCACAGTCCCACCGACACTTGTGATCGGTTCTGTGAGGTAATCAAAGCCAAAGTAAGTACGCTCCCAACTATACATCCCGGTTGTTCCAGTTCTTTATTTCACATTTATTGCAACCGCGCAAAAAAGAAAAATCTGATTGATAAAGGTGTGTTGTTCGCCTTACCGTCAGCCGCCGAGTAACATACCTTTATGAGTCAGATTTTTCAGCCCCCGACTTAGTAACGCTCGCAAGTAAATCAAATAAACGGTAGATACTAACTTGGAGATATGCAGTCTGGAAACGAAAGGCCTGTTATAGGCTGCGCATGGCTTGTAGGCACATCCCAACATCACTAACATGGGATACCCATATCATTCTTACTACCTTAATGTTTTAAAATACCATATTCTTTCCTGACACAAAATTTCTGTGCTTATGTGAATTTTTCATTTTCAGGAAAACGAAGAACTGTTGGCAAAT